GGAGAATATTCTTCCGGTCTGCCTCAGACTAGAGTGGTTGGTAAGCAGGAAAGAGAAGAGATACTTGGCTCTGCATCATGTGAGGTGCGTAATTCCCCTTGGGGATGGTGTGTGAAAATTGGACTTGCTGGGAGAAAACTCAAGCGGCCCAAGCAGCTTACCTGGTAGGTCAGCTCCTTCACCCTCCTCTCGTACTTGCGCACACCCTTCACGGCCTCAGCGCTGCGCTTCTGCTCAGCATCGACCTCCCCTTCCAGCTCCCGCACCTGCAATGAGAAGCCCATCTTTGGAGCTGCCCTGGTGATCGCTTACAGGACGTGTTCATTCATGCACAGCTACCAGCCCTACGTACTCTGGCCTCCAGCTTCTGGATTTGCTTCTTGCCTCCCTTCAGGGCCAACTGCTCAGCCTCCTCCAGACGGTGCTGCAGGTCCTTCACCGTTTGGTCCAGGTTCTTCTTCATCCTCTCCAGGTGGGCACTGGTGTCCTGCTCCTTCTTCAACTCTTCTGCCATCATGGCTGCCTGAGGAGGACAAAACAGGTCAAAGTCATTTTGGGCTGGAGACATTATGGGGGAGAATATATCCGTCATCAGCACTGAAAGGAGCCCCCAACTCACATCTGTGATGGCCTTCTTGGCCTTCTCTTCAGCATTGCGGGCTTCCTGGATCGTATCCTCCATTTCACTCTGAATTTGGGCAATGTCTGTTTCCAGCTTCTTCTTGGTGTTGATCAAGCTGGTGTTCTGATCAAGAAAAGTACAGCGTTTTCTCAAGTAGAGTTATACCATATTTAGAACAAAAGATATTGCAAAATTTTATTGGTGGTTTTATTTTTGTTTTATATGAAAATTATGCACTGCTGATAAATGGTAATGGTAGGCTGCCAAAGACACAGATATGTATAACTTATAGTGATCATTTAAGTTGTTGAAGAACTGTAGAGACTACATCTATTCAACACTAGAACTTACCTGGGTATGGAGCAGCTGCACACGTTCAGTGGCATCCAGCAGCTCCTGCTCGGCCAGTTTCCTCGAGCGCTCCGTCTGCTCCAGGGCTGCCCGAAGCTCCTCAATTTCAGCCTGCAGCAGGTTTGCTCTGCGCTCCACCATGGCCACCTGCTCCTTCAGGTCCTCCTGAGTCCTGACAGCATCGTCCAAACTGTGTATCCTTTAGGAGAAGAAAGGAAAATAATACATTGGCACAGCACTTGAGGAGTATTGGATAGTGACATCTGTGGCTCATTTACTAACATGT